ATGCATGTTCTGATGTGTAAAATTTGAATTTTAGTTTGAAATCAGTCCAGGCATGTGTTTTATATGCATGAGATGCATAGTCTGATGTGTGAAATTTGAATTTTAGTTTGAAATCAGTCCAGGCATTTGCTTTATATGCATGAGATGCATGGTCTGATGTGTAAAATTTGAATTTTAGTTTGAAATCAGTCCAGGCATCTGTTTTATATGCATAAGATGCATAGTCTGATGTGTGAAATTTGAATTTTAGTTTGAAATCAGTCCAGGCATCTGTTTTATATGCATGAGATGTATGATCTGATGTGTGAAATTTGAATTTTAGTTTGAAATCAGTCCAGGCATGTGTTTTATATGCATGAGATGCATGGTCTGATGTGTGAAGTTTCAACTTTAGTTTGAAATCAGTCCAGGCATTTGTTTTATATGCATGAGATGTATGATCTGATGTGTGAAATTTGAGTTTTAGTTTGAAATCAGTCCAGGCATGTGTTTTATATGCATGAGATGTATGATCTGATGTGTGAAGTTTGAACTTTAGTTTGAAATCAGTCCAGGCATTTGTTTTATATGCATGAGATGTATGATCTGATGTGTGAAGTTTGAATTTTAGTTTGAAATCAGTCCAGGCATGTGTTTTATATGCATGAGATGCATGATCTGATGTGTGAAGTTTCAACTTTAGTTTGAAATCAGTCCAGGCATGTGTTTTATATGCATGAGATGCATGATATGATGTGTGAAATTTGAACTTTAGTTTGAAATCAGTCCAGGCATGTGTTTTATATGCATGAGATGCATGATCTGATGTGTGAAGTTTGAATTTTAGTTTGAAATCAGTCCAGGCATGTGTTTTATATGCATGAGATGCATAGTCTGATGTGTGAAATTTGAATTTTAGTTTGAAATCAGTCCAGGCATCTGTTTTATATGCATGAGATGCATGATCTGATGTGTGAAGTTTCAACTTTAGTTTGAAATCAGTCCAGGCATGTGTTTTATATGCATGATATGATGTGTGAAGTTTGAACTTTAGTTTGAAATCTGTCCAGTCATTTGCTTTATATGCATGAGATGTATGATCTGATGTGTGAAGTTTGAATTTTAGTTTGAAAACAGTCCAGGCATGTGTTTTATATGCATGAGATGCATGATCTGATGTGTGAAGTTTGAATTTTAGTTTGAAATCTGTCCAGTCATTTGTTTATATGCATGAGATGTATGATCTGATGTGTGAAGTTTGAATTTTAGTTTGAAAATCAGTCCAGGCATGTGTTTTATATGCATGAGATGCATGATCTGATGTGTGAAGTTTAATTTTAGTTTGAAATCAGTCCAGGCATTTGTTTTATATGCATGAGATGCATGATCTGATGTGTGAAGTTTGAACTTTAGTTTGAAATCAGTCCAGGCATTTGTTTTATATGCATGAGATGCATTCTGATGTGTGAAAGTTTGAATTTTAGTTTGAAATCAGTCCAGGCATGTGTTTTATATGCATGAGATGTATGATCTGATGTGTGAAATTTGAATTTTAGTTTGAAATCAGTCCAGGCATGTGTTTTATATGCATGAGATGTATGATCTGATGTGTGAAAT